TTTATTATTCATATACAATGAAATAAACCAATAATTACAAGTAATAAGAAAGAATTGTTAAGCTCTTGAAGTGAATAAAAAAGAAATGTATGATTATTAACTTTTATTCACATTTTATAATGATTTCACATAAATCATCTTAATGAAATAATCGATTTTTTTTTGCTCGAGTATTCAATGGCAATCTAATCAATATGTCGTTCTATTTTTTTTTTACATACAATAAAATAAAACTGCTTTAGAATTTTCAGGTTCATTTATCTTATACTCTATGTAGTTAACCTTTCCTATTGACAATAGTACTGCCATTTACAACATTTCCTAGCAAGAAAAAAAAAAAAAAGAAAAACGAACGAGAAAAAAAGTACAGTATAGTTTTGTTTAATTCTATGAATCAAAATTAATTTGAGCGAATATTTAAAACTTCTTATTGCATTTGAATTGTTTTATGGAATTTAAAATTAATATACGACATAATATAAATGTCAATCATACAAATAATAATAATAATAAACAAGAACATTCTATCATAACTCGTTTTTTCATCGAGTAATCTTCTCAAATTTCTCAATCAACAACATATTGACAATAAATTGCCATTAAAGTATGCCTTAGGTACTTATTTTTACAAGGTCGATAAACAATACAATTGGAAATGGAATGTTATCTGTATAACATCAATCAAATATGTCGAAGATGTGTGGTCATTCTATATACACACACATATGGTCTACAGAATCTATCAAATGATTATAATAATATGCTTTTTAAAGTAATCTATGCAAAGGATATAATAAAATGAACATTATATTTTTTTGTTTCACATACTTGATAATTTACTTGGCATTTGTAGTTTAGAGGTTGTCTATCCATATGAATCATTTTTGTTCTCTGAAAGAAATAAAAGTGAGAAGATATGTCATTTTATAATGAAGAAAAATGAGTAATTACAAACGATTTTAATAAATGTCAATATCTTTCTTGATAACTATTGGCTCCAGAATATACTCTCGTAAAATTGCTGATAATTTAAGTAATCATAATATCAACAGTGTTGTTGTATTATTAAGAATGAAAAGTGATTGGCTAATATTATGGTTAAAAAAAGATTGATGATTGAAATATCATCCGCAATAAAAACAAAAAAATTTGCAATTAAATCTAAAGAGTTAGTTAGATTTTCTAATAAAATAGAAGTTATAAAAAAAAAGTTAAGAACAATTAATTCTTTTTTGTTTTTTGTATTTAATTTTTAAATAAATATTTCTTTTCAAGTACCATAAACCAAAATTTAGTGAAGAAAATAATGAAATTCATCTAATTATTTTTAAAGAAAATGAAATCAAGCAAGAGATAATAATTATTGAAAATAAACAATTTTCTTTCACTAAATTTTTCGATAAATGACAAATAATAAAATAAAACAAAACAAACAAACAAAAAAGAAAACAAAGCCTAAGTCTATGTCTATTCTTCATACAAAGGTTTTTGTTGTCCACCACCACTTTCATTATGTGTTTCAAATTGAATACGCATAGTTGATGATAAATTCATCATAGTTTTCCATCGACGACCTATTTCACGTACAATTGTTCCATTTTGAGCTTCAGATAACCAAAGACCTATTTTATGACCACGTACACGTATTGATACTACACAACCAGTTATAAAACGACTTAATGGTTGAGGATCTCTAGAATAGAACATATATACATATATTTTTTTTTTTTGCACAAAAATTTTATTATTTTTTATACGTACGAATCATGTGAAAAACAATCACCAATCATACCAAGTAATGTTTCTTGCCATAAATCATCGAGTTTCATATCTGGATTTCCAAATGTTAATAACCAACGACCACCATTAGCATTAGCTGGATCCTCTTTAATGAAAGATATTTATATTTAAAGAAAATAAACAAAAAATGACCTAACTTACCCCACATCGGACGAACTAAAATGAAAAACAACATTAAAAGTAAATTATAGAGTCTTATCTAGGAATACGATAATGTATAGTATGTGCCTCATTAGTTAGGCCTTATTCAGACTAGAGAAAGCCTAAAAAGAGCCGCATTTATGGATATTTCTTTATTTGGTTATGATCATTTTAGTGAGTTTCTCGTAAAACTCACATGCTCTTCAGTGTTGTATTCAGCGTGGGGTGGAGTGAGAGAGCAACGCTCTACTGCAGATCAGATTGATCCTACCGGCGTTTGTGGTTAGAGTACCATGTATCTGTGCTTCCGAAAATAAGCTTGCGCCCCTTCATCAGATAAAGACTATTTTAATTATTGAAATACCAGATTTTCTAATATATTCTACACAAAAATGCAAACTTTGTTTTATGATTTATATTCGAGACTCTACACTATACTCTGCATATCTCTTATATCCTATCTCACTATAGGAAATACTAGAAAATCTAACACTTTTCATAATGAACTAATGTCCATTTTACGAAAACGAAAAAGCGGTGGATGAATATTGTTTGAATAAGTTTTGATAGAAACAAGACAGAGTGCTGCAATTTTCACTGTTGAAAAGAGGAGATGAAATCTCATTGAATCATATATTACAAAGCAAAAAAGTAATTTTGTTTTTTCTTTGTAAGAATTGCTTGAAAAATTGATTAAGAGTTTTGAGTAGAATACTTATAACTGCTAAATGATTAAATGTAAAAAAGTGACGATTACGTAGTTTTGTAGATTTTCAACTAATGGTTTGAATGAACATCTATTAATAGAAAATTTTCTTAATAGGAGAAAGATTCACGTGTATGAATCTTTTTAGATTTTCTCTTGTTTCAATAAGATCCTTTAATCAAAAAAATCGATCTATTACTTAGCAAAGTAAACTATCAACTAGATTTCTCTTCTAGCTTAAATATTCAAAATCTTATTCGAGAAATGCACTAGAACAAAAGAGAAATTACGAATTTTCACAGATGACTTTTTATATTATTGACGTCAAATTATAAGACAAGTCAATGTTTTTTGAATAAGTTTCAATAGGAATATTATAGAGATCTATGGTTTTCACAATTCAAGAGAGAAGACTCGTGGATATCAATATATGATTAGTCAACAATTGACTTATCGAGTTGAAGATTTTTGAAAACGATTTTCTGAAGTCATCTCCATCTCTGTATGATATGACCAATTGATAGAAAAATTTCTTCTCTTTCAAAATTCCACACTCAGAGCTCACCTGAGTAGTCAATTGCTGGTCAATCAAATTTCGATGACTTCGGAGTCCTCTCTCTGAAATAGTGAAAACTGCACAGATATCTATGATGTTCCTATTGAAAATTATTCAAAAAACATTGTCTTGCCTTATATTTTAGCGTCGATAAAATTGTATGGAAAATCCATTGTTCTGCCAATCTTGATAGCTCTATTCAATGCTTTCATTAAATTTTATCGAATCTAAAAACACAAGATTCAAAATTGATCAAAACTTAGGAGTTTTAAGAGAAAATCTGACCAATTGGTTAACTTTTTTTCCATTATTCAAAAGAATTAAACTATAGTATCGAATAAAATATTCAAAATTGAGCATGGCTGGCATAAATCTGTAGATTCTCAATAGTATAGATTAGGAAGGTGTGGATTCTTCCAGACCAGGATCAAAAGTTTTATATTTTTTTTGTCGGATCCAGATCCAACCTTGTACTTTTTGCCAGGCTCGGTTACACGTTTTTGCGGATCCACTGCACCCCAGATGAGGAATATAGCGTCAAGATATAACTGTAAGTTGATTTTTTTTTTATGAGAATGGTGCTAGGTTTCAGTCCGAGTTCAAATTTTTAGTTTTTTTCGGATCTGGGCTCACAAAAACGTGGACTCGCAGCTCCCTATTACGGATAAGTTACTTTTAAAATCAACCTCTAGAAATTAGTACATCCATATCCAAAGGCAACATATTTCCAACATTGAGAATCACAAGTTTTCGTCAGTGGTTCATACTATTAATGATTAGATTAGAATACTATAGTTTGATTTCTTTGAATTACAGACTTAGTTGAATTTTCTCTTAAAAGTCATAAATTCCGACCAATGCTAAATTTGGGTTTTTAGATTCGATGAAATCTAATGGTAGCGTCAAATAGAACAATCAAAATTGAGTACATTTGCTATTAAAATCTTAGCAGGACAATGAATTTTCAATACTATAAAATAATCATCTTTGAAACCACGATCTAGAAATTGGTAAATCTCTAAAAATTTGACAAAATGAAGGTTGTAAGTAGTATCTGATCGAGAAACATTTAATTAAATTGTTAATCGACTATATTTGACTAATATAAAAATTAATTAAATAAATATTTCTTTTTTTTTTGCTATTGTTTAGAAAAATTTTCAAAATAATAATAATTTAATTTATATATTCTTACTTCCTGTTCTAAAAAAATAATAATCTGAATTAATTTTAGCTGTTGCAAGACGTGATGGTAATGCTAAATGATTATATGTTGCCCAAAAATCTTCGACAAATGCAATATCAATTAATTTAATTAATGATTTTTCCCAAACAATACGTTTATCAGGTTTAAGATACCAAAATGTCCATGAAAATTCTAATGGACTTTTTGGATTAACATTATCAATTAATAATTCTCGTTCTTTATTTAATTTATCATCTTGATTAGATGAATTATTTCTTGCATCCATAATTTGTATTTTTTAATAAATAAAAAAATAAAAAATAAAAAGAAAGAAAAACAACAATAAACGAGTGAAAAAAAAACATCTGGTTTACGACATGAAATGATTCATTTAGGTGTATCGAATTTTTATTGTCAATAAATTAATAAATGACAAAAATAAAAATAATTTAATATTAATATTTCGATAAATTTATTAGAAAAAAAAACTTTTTTTGAAAGTTTTTTTGTAACATGGAAAAAATTTCTTTGTTATTTTTGAAAAGAGATCGTTGCTAAGCAATGAACAATGATTACAAGATGGATGTCAAATAGATTAATTTAATCATATTATGGCTCATCTTCTTGGAAGTAAAGTTTGTATTGATAGTTTACGTGTTGATATTAATGATTTACAAAATGTTATTTATGATATTATTGGAAAAACGGGTTCACTTAAGTAAAAAAAGAAAAACTTTTTTTTCTATTAAATTGAAAATTTTCATATAGATGTCATTCATGGAAATATCCCGATAAACTTGCAACAGATGTTGATATGAATGAATTACTCGAACGTTATCAATATGGAAAAAATGATCTTGATAATCAAGTTTCTCATGTTATTTTATTTGAAATTATTATTGATAGGTATGTATATTTAATATATCGAGTTGAATTATATAATTATGTGACAAAAAATTTCATTAAGAATTTCAGAATTGAAAAAATTATTATTTTTTCAGGCAAGTAAAATATTCATCGTTCTCTAAATTGATTTTTTTTTGTAGTTTAAATGATTGATGCTTATCTTTTCTTCAAATATTGCTATTAGCACGAAAATACTTTTTTTTTGAATTCTTTTTTTACATGATTTGAAATATCCCTAGCTATTGAGCATAAATAGATGATTATGAATGTAGGATATACTTTTATTCTGGTTAGGCCACTATTTTCGTAAGAGAAATATTCAGTAAAACTCGATTCCATCTAACTGAATTGCAAAGCTTTCTACACTTGCAAAGAAGAACACATCGTGTGATAATGCAAAAATTTCTTTCTTTGATTTTTTTATTTTTTTCAGGCTATTACTCGTTGTACATGGTTCATGGCATTTTTTACATGAAATTCAAACTAAATTGTTATCAAGCACGATCGATTCATCATCGACTATTAATCAACAAACAAGTCTTAGTGTTGGTTTAGTAGTTAAAAAATATTGGAATAAATTATTACACTTATTTACTATACTTCAACAACATGAGGTTCAAATATCTGACAATGTCGAGAGGATAGACTAGAATTTTATAATTAATTATTCACTTTTAGACTAATCATAAACGATCACATCATACAACATCATCAATACGATCAAAATCAAATCTAAATATTGAAAAATATTGTCAAACAATTGAATCATCATTAGGTCCATGTTCATCATGTATTCAATTTCAACAATATCTTCACAATTATAGTGAAAGTATTATAAGTTTATGTCATTTATATAATTTACCATCATCTCTTGCACATTATCGATGTTCAACATCAACAATAGCTGAATCATTATATGATATTAATCAATGGTTTGATTGTCAAACAAAAGATTTTGATCGTTTATCAAAACATGTTGAATATTTACATAATACATTAAATAAAACAAAAAATGATTTAGATTTAAGTGAAAATTCTTGTAAACAATTAAATGAAACAAATCATAATTTAGAACAAATAATATGTAATGAAAAAGAATCAAAGAAAAAATTAGAAGAATTCCATAGAAATAAATTAATTGAAATAAAAAAATATAATGATCAATATCAATTAAGTTTAAATGAACAAATTAAATTATTAACTACAGAAAAAATTAATATTAAACAACAATTAAAAGAAATTACTGAAGAATATACATTAAGAGGAGAACAAATTAAACAATTAGGTAAACTTTTTTTATATACATCCACGAATTCGAGTACTTAAAAAAATATGAATTAAAAAGTTTTCTATCGAATAAAATTCGGAATATGAAAAAAAAAATAGTCACAGCGTTGAACATATTTTGATTTTCAATGAAATTTTTTTCTTTAGAATCATCAAAAAATGAATTAAAAATTCTAATGGAAGATCGTATCAAATCAGATGATTTAATAAAAACATTAGAACAAGATCGTATTCGTTTACAAACTGAACTTGATGTTGTAAAACGTGACGTTGAAGAACGTAATCGTGATTTACAAAAAGAACGAATACGTATTGAAAATATGATTCGACATGATGAAGTAAGGCAAAAAAAAAAACTTAATCTTAAGATTTTTTTAATTTTCCATATATAGAATTATCAATCAAAACAAAAAACACTTACTAAATCACATGAACAATTATCAAAAGAATGTGAATTATTAAAGTAAATATTCATTGTTTCGTCTTTTTTCTTTTTTTTGTTATATAATAATTTCTTTTTAAATTAGAAAAAAAATAATAGAATTAGAAATTGAACGAGATGAATTACAAAAATCATTTCAAATAATTCAACAACAAAATCAAACATCTTCTGATAATATTCAAGTTCAATCATTTATTGAAACACATAATCATGTTTTACAAGAAGTTACATCTCTTAAATCAAATATTGAACAACTTCAACAACAAATTCAACAAATGACTGAACGTGAAAAAAGTTTATTACAACATTCAAATTCAAATGGATCTATTCAAAATACATCAAGTAAATTATATACATATTATTCCCTTTTCTGAAAGAAAGGATTATACAGCGATTCAAAAACGCATAAAGTTTGTCTGTCCAAGCCAATCAGAAACGAGGTTTTTATTCATCGGATTTTCGACCACTCTGATGAAACTTTGCAATAGGTTTTCGGGGACGAAGAATTCGAATCTGAGGTCGGACTTTTGATCTAAACATTCATTGTTTGAGAAACCTACCAATCAGAAACGAGCTTTTTATGTTGTTAACATGATGTGTTGAAAAATAAAGACACCTAATAAAACCGTCAAGATGATTCAGTGGTAGAAAAATTCATAACCAAAGCTTAATTATCAAAAGACACGATTTTATTATTGAAGGAAGAACAACTCATAAAGTTACAGCGTCTGTCATTAAATGAGATAAATGATTATTTAAGTAAAACATTTCGAAACATTATTCAATTATTGAATCACCTCTTCAATTCTTTCTTACAAGACAAATGTGATTATTTTCAATAAAAAAAATATCTCAAAATCTTCTCTTTTTTTCTTTCAGAAAAGGATCAGCGAATCCGTAGGATGAACGCTACCTTGTATATTATTCTCATTTTTATTATATTTCTTTTTTTGTAGCAACAAATAATTTTGTTCATGATATGCAAAATGAAATGCGAACAAATGAACTTCGTATTGATTTATTACAAAAACAAAATGATTCATTAAAATTTTCATTAGGAAAACTTCAACATACAAATAATCATACTAATTCATCATTAGTAATAGACGAACAATTAAAAAATCAATTAAGACAACAACAACAACATACAAATGAAACATTACCAACAGTAAATTATGAATTTAATCTCAAACATTTAAATTTATGTACTTAGGAAACACACCAACATTTCAATAGATAAATATGCATTTCTCCACCTAACGAGAGAGAAAAATAAAGTATCTCTTTAGTGAAAATTTCAACTAACAAAGCATTTTATTTTTGGGCACAGGAGTGTGGGTTCTAGTCTTCTATTCATCTACACTCATACCGACAATCAGAGCTCTGGAAACGATCGTATTTCATTAGAATCGATCGAAAAGCAACGAGAAAAATCATCGTATCCGGCCGAAAAACACCGGAAATCGAAGGAATACGGAAGCAATTTTCCGGTTCGGAATACTGCTTCTTAGTTTCATCGATTTCCTGTCGGAACTGGCGCATACTTCTTGACCTTAGGCACTCACGATCATTCTGGAGACATCACTTTTCCAGTGTTTTTTTCTTTTGATCTCCCTTATGGCAAACTATCAAAGACATATTTTATTATCGGCATACGTTAGGATAGAAACAACAAAAAGACCTGAAACTTTCACAATAAATTACTCTTATTGAAGTCTACCGCTATAGAAAGTTTTAAGTCGATATTCGAAAATCATTTTTTCGGTTTCCAGTATTCATAGTCCATTATAATCTACATGATTTACCTAGTTCTGGCTTAAAAACAATTAATCAATTGACGTACTTTTCTCATGAGATTTATCTCTTTTATATAAAGCCGCTATGACTGAGTAGTTACGTTGTTCGACATATACTCTCAAGGTACTATGTTAGAGCCTTGATGCTAGCAGCCATGGAATGACTTTGAACCCGAACCCCATCGGGTCCCAACCTGAGGTTTTTTCCATCAATACCTGGCACCCTTCGTGTACACGAACAAGTGAAGTATCAAGGTTTCAGCTATTTATTCGCTACTCTCAACGTACAGCTATATCTTGTTGTTGTATTTCTTATCTGGGGAGCAGCGGATCCACAGCTCCCTAGTCATCCGTCCGATAGCATTACACCACAAAAGTAGCCGAACGACAGAAATTTTCTTCTTCCTCTTTTATATAAACATAATCAAAAGCAGTTTTATGATTTCTATTCTAATTTAATTCTCTATCATGTTCTATACGTCCAGAATACCTTATTGTTAAATTGCAATCCATTTAATCAATTGATCTCTTTCATAATTTGCTTAAATAGAATCAAAAGTAATTTTAGAAACCAAAACAAACACCATTATGGTTATTAAATAATGAAATACTCGAACAGCAACAACAACAACAAGCTTTTACAGAAACAAAGTAAAATTAATTCAATTCGAAATAATTTTTCTTTTTTTTTTCTATTTCTTAATTATAGATCAACAACGAAAAATTACAT